GAAGCTTAAAATATCTTATATTAGTATTATCAACAGTATTTATAACAGGTGGATTAATTTTCTTTTCAACATATAATTTAATTTCAGTGTCGATAACTTTTTGTGGAAATTGATTATTTTTTAAAACTAAAGAAAGATTTTTTATATCCTTATCAAATCCAAACCACGTGTTGTTAATTTTATATGTTCGATTAATCAAGCAACGTATAAGACCAGTTTTGTAACATGAAGGGACAAAACAAAAGAAATTTTGTAAAAGACCCGTGTATGTTTTTTGTGATAAACTGATGTAGAGAGTGAATTAGACTTATTAATAAGAACATCCAAAATGGGATTTGGTTGTCTTTTTCTTTTTCCACAGTAAATCTTAAGTTTTTGTGTTGTTTATTGAGATGTTTAAAAAATTCTTGCGCAAGAATTATGATTGCTTTCAGATTTTGGATACTGCCTCTACCATTAACAAATTAAAAATAAAAGAAGCACTTCATATTAAATGGGAAAATCCTTCTTTAAATAAACAAACATCTCATTACATTATAAATTTATCTATCTAACTTACTATATTATTACTATTATTATTATTATTATTATTATTATTATTATTATTATTACTATTATTATTACTATTATTAATATTTGAATATTAGGAAGTTCATTTTGTCATAATTTGTAATATAATTTTTAATTGGTTTGTAACAAGTTTATTTGTCCGTTAATTTTTTCTCTGTATTGTCTTCAGTTTTTAAATTTATTTACCAAAGTTTTAATTGTAAATTAAATCTTTTGAAAATGTAGTAAGACTACGAAACATGTCAAGAATAAAAAATATTGTGATTTTTATTAAAATTTTTACAAATTTATTGCTAATGCGATGTTCGAAAAATTATAAATTAATAATTGAACTACTTCAATTAATATGAATATATGTTAATTTTATTTTTATTAAAGTTCTAATATCTCATAAATCTAATTGCATGTTAATAGAAACCAATAATTTTTTCGCTTTTACGTTTTTCTCATTAACCACCCTGAACCTTTCTCATGGCTTAATGACCCTGAACCTTTCTCACAATTTTGTGTGATCACTGAGTATCAAAACTTGAATATTCTATGATAAAAAAATTAGTAAAAATTCCCAGTTATTATTTTTCAGCGAGACAAGGAAACACGAAAATGCATTTTCTTAACAAAAGAAGCAATTTCAAAGTATCGTATCTCTTTTCAAAAATGATAATGTATTTGCAATAAAATTACAAAAAAAAAAAAAAAAAACTATAGAAACGTTATTGTAACATATTTAACCTCAACACGGAACAACAAACATCAGAAAAAATATGAGTTAATTAGAAATACTTTAAGGAATTATGAATATGAGTAATGCAAATTAGTTATTAAGTAATTGTTGTATCAAAACATTTCCTAACGGAATATAAGATCTACTAGAAAGATAACAACTTTATACGAGAGATATAATAGCTGTAGGGTAATGATATATTATATAAAGTAAATGTCTAACTTGCGGGAATTTAATGGACAAAAAATCAAGCCGCTTTTTTATGTTTATAACAATAATCCCTCATTTGTAAAAAGGGCAAAAGCTGAAGCCGATGTGTGGAATAAAAGTTAAAAATGCAAGTCAAATGCTCCCAATAAATTTAAGATAATTCAAAAAAAGGTTTAATAATTATAAAATACTGATAAAAGTTTTTTTAGGAGCCTATGTTTATTAAAAAAGTATTTTAACTCATAAAAATATTTCAAAATAGAATGACATTTTACTTTTCTATTCAAAACATTATTCGCTTTTTAATCGAAAGTTAATCAAGGAATCATAAATTATTATTTTACAAGTATTCTAATTTCCTTTTAACATAAATAATATTTAAAGTTAAAATGTATTTACTTCATTTAAGCAAAAAAAAGTTTAAAATATTTGTTCACAAATTTTATCCGTTATTTGTAAAAAGGGCAAAAGCGGCTTCACTTTTCGGATTGAAGTTAGACATCTAGTTTATTTATTATATCATTGCTGGAGGGAGAACGACGCCGAAAATGATTTCAAACCCGATATGGTCTTTGTTGTATAATTATTCCAGCGCCAAGCCAAAATGGCGCTTTGGTAAAAAAATTTAAAAATTTTGAAATATAATTTATTAGGATTGAAAGCTGTAATCGAAGTGGATTAATATCTTAAAAGTTTATTAGATAAGTTTTTAACTACTATTCGATCAATTTAGAAGTTAATTACTACAAAAATCACGATTAAAATGAAGTAATGGTTTCTTGCACACCTCAATTATAGGTATAAGTATCAAAGTTTTAGACAATCTTTAGTACCAGTTTAAACCTTATTTTTTGCTTGCCTGTTCAATTTGCTTGTCTTTTCAGTTATAGGTTTGTTACATTCTTTAACAATGTTCTTTCGGCCGGGCACTTCTTAAATCCCTCCAGATTTTTATTTTGTGTAAGAGTATTTTTGCTGGATTTAAAAACAAATTACTATATTCTAAATATAAAGATATAAAAATCCGGCAAAAATACTACCGGTTCTTATCTCAGGGGCGGGTTTAACTTTTCAAAGAAGTTAAAAATCCAGAAATTTAAAGGGGGTGAATCGATTCGGAAGTTTCTTTTTGTAAGTCTTTATAACGGAATTTAAGTTTTTCGTGTAACGCTTTACGAAAAGGTGAATTTTCACATATGTTAATTCCGTAATAGCAAAAAAACGGTAGATAAAAAAAACGGTAGATAAAGGTGCAAAATTTTCATAAGTCTTGTATTTCGGCGAACAACCCTATTTTATACTTACGATAAAGTAAGTATTTTAAAGATAATGGTTGTAATTAGTGGGAAACACAAACTTATTCCTTCAGTAATTGCAACCATACAAATCAAAAAAAAGTTGCCTAGAAAAAAAGTAGTCACAAACTCTGATCCACAATACACCAATCAGAAGTGTATAACAATACACAATACACCAATCAGAAGTGTATAACATGATTTAATAGCTATTAGTCATTTAGCATTTGATTCAACGGCATTTAGTCAAGTGTAAAACATGATTCAAGAGCAATTAGTCATTTAAAAGACATGAACAGAATCAATCATGCATTTCATCTTTCTTTCACTTACATGCGCAATCAAAAAAAAAAATTAAGTAAAAATAGAGTTATCAAACCAGCCATTTTATAAATGTTGATAGTTGGCCTTATGAAAATTCAAGATATGAAAATCAATATATTGTGCCAAGACTTATTTTAAAGAGCATAACCTTGATCTAATATTTGAGGCCACAAATGCTCCTGGCAGAAATACCTTTAACAGGGTAGAGAGGATAATGTCTCCACAAAGCCATCATCTTGCAGGAGTTATACTTCCTTTAATCAAGGAAGTATAATCTTAATTCAAAAAGAGTAACAAAGTAAACTTTGCTGGTAAAGTACTTGCACAAGCTAGGTCTAGCACAGTCATTGATGGATAAGAAACTAAATTCGAATACAAAGATTGGTTTTCTACAAGTCTCCGTATTCTTTGTTTAACAGTAAGCATTTTTTTTTTACGTGTAATTGTTTATATTTTTATATTTTATTTTAGCTTTTTTTTATTTAGTTTGAGTTCATGGTTTCTATTTTTTTAATCTATATTTCTAGCAGAATTTTTGAGTAAATTTGTTAATACTTATTTGTTTACAACAAAAACTAAAAGCTTAAAAAAAAAATTGTCTAGTAAAGGCACAAGAGTTATTTAAAAAAAATTGTAGTTATGAATGACGTATTGTTTCTTTATATCTGTACCTCAGAGGTCAACTATAGTAACTCACATTTGACAAATTTTAAAGGAGAGCCAAATGAAGTTACTACACTTCTTTTTCTGTTAAGAAACAGCTTTTTTTATTTTTAAAAATGATATTTTTGCTAACATTTTTTTCTTTTTTGAATACATGAGTATTTTTTATTTGATTTCTCAGTGTAGGTAAGGCGGTTATTAAGTTATTCAAATTCTTTTATTTGGAATTAGCATATATTTGTCAGCGTATTGTGTTTAAACAATACCTTTATTATAATGTTATAACATGTTTTGCTTTTTTCATTTTTTTTAAATTTTAATTTTTTTTTAAAACATTTTTTACTACCCCTATTAGTAAACCTAAAGAACACCATTTTTTAGTCCTTAGATCATACTTTCTCTACAGTGTTAACTTGATTTTAGTTGAAAACCTTTGAAAAAGTCCGTTAACCCTAGTTCTAATCTGTTCTGGTACATATTTGTTAAATATATTTATTATTGAGAGAATTCATAATATATAATGTTTCAAAGTAGCTTATGAACATAGTTGTCAAAATACAACATTTTTATTCGATAAAAAAGATTGTATTAAAGAAAAGCTGCCAAAGTTCTTATTATTAAGCTATGATGTTCATCTCACATAAACAACTTTTTTATTTAAAATTTTATTCAAATCTGGACAAGTGATTTTAAGAAAATTAAAAAAATAAATAAATAAGAAATCTTGGTCTGGGTTTTTTCGCCACAAACATTTTTATTTTATGTTGCAGCAAAATTAAAAATTTCTATTATTTAAACTTTTTTGTCTTATCATGATTCAGAGACTTGATCATTTAATGGAAATAGGTTGTGGTCAGCAAGATATTATACAGACGTTTTAATACTTTAAAATTGCCGAGTTTTAGCTGGTTTTAAAAAAAATTTTCAGCATTTTTAAAAATTTAAATTTTTATGTAACTAAAATTTAAAGCATTAGTGTTACTTTTTCATATTTTTTATTGTAAAATTTTTTTCTAAATTATGACTTAGTTTCACTTTCGACAATAAAAACATACTTAATTACAGATACAAAGGTTATTTGATTTTGTCAATAAGTCACGAGATTATAATTCAGTGAGTCGGCTTGAAAAACTAAATAAAAACCTTAATATAAAATGTTCTAAATTAAGTTTAAAGATTACCAACCAACCAGTTTAAAATCTGATCATAAAAACAAACACGCGTCATTTATAGATTTTTTCATAAAGAAAATAAATATCTGTAATTGTCAAACAGAATGAGTAACGTAATTTTGTCGCTGTTTTTTTTATTTTGCTATTTAGCTTTTACTTTATGTTCGGAAAAAGTAAGCGTTTGTTTTTTTACCAACTGGTCTCAATATCGTGATGGTTTGGGAAAGTTTTCGCCAGAAAAAATTGATACTTCTTTGTGTTCCCACATTAATTATGCGTTTGCTAAAATAAATACCGAAACGCATGTAATCGAAAAATACGAGTGGGACGACGACTTATTAATATCCGAAATTGATTCATTAAAATCAATTAAACCTTCACTGAAGACTGTATTATCAGTGGGTAAGCCATTAAATAAAGTTTCCGTAACATTTGTTTGCGTCATTTTTTTTTTTTTTATGTTGTAATAAAGTTTCAATAATTTTATTTACTATTTTATTTTAATACTATTGTTGTTGTTAGGTGGTTGGAATCATGAAGAAACCGAGCCACGTTTTTCCAATATGGTAGCAACAGCTGCCACAAGAAAAATTTTCATAGATTCTGCTATTGCGTTTCTTACGGCACATAACTTCAATGGACTAGATCTTGATTGGGAATACCCCGGAAACAGAGGCTCTCCTCCTGGCGATAAGCAAAAATTTACACTTTTGTTAAAAGAAATTCGTGCAGCGTTTCATGGAACTCCTTTTATTTTGACAGCTTCAGTAGGTGCTGGTCCGCAAGTTATTGCTTCAGCATACGAAATATCAGAAATTGCGAAATATTTAGACTGGGTAAATATTATGACCTATGACTTGCATGGTTCTTGGGAAAATATAACTGGTTGTTCCACTGCCATGTCAGGGCCTCCTCCAACGGCTTCAAACTCATTAAAAATTTGGCTAGATGGAGGTATGCCTGCAAATAAAATAATTCTTGGTTTAGCTGCATACGGAAGAACATTTGAATTGAAGGACCCTAATCAAGCTGGTCTTGGAGCACCAGCAAACGGCCCAGGTTTACCTGGTCCGTTTACAAAAGTTCCTGGCTTTTTGGCTTATTACGAAGTTTGTGATGCTACTTGGTCAAGTTTAACAAATTATATTGACAGCAAGGCAGGTTCTCCGTACGCATCAAATGGTAACCAATGGGTAGGATACGATACGCCTGAAAGCATAAAAAATAAAGTGACAACACTTGTCAACTCTTTTGGTCTTGCTGGTATAAGTTTCTGGGCAGTTGACATGGATGATTTTACTGGCAGTTTTTGCAATTTAGGAAAATACCCTTTATTATCTACCGCTGTAGAAACAATGAGACAATTTTCTAACGATAAAACAGATCGTTATTCAGTTTGTAAGGCTTCAAAGAGGTGGAATCACGTTGTTTCATTACAAAAATGGTGTAAAGAGTACTGTCTGTTTAATAGATGTCCCGCATACATGTGTGAATGTAATTATGTAACAATTAAAACATAAGTAAATTTATATAATAAACTTTAAAGAAGTAATTTTTAAATCCAATATTTTGTTGAAGATGAACAATTTATTTTATAAGTTAGTAGAAAAAAATTAATAATTTTTAAATTAAGGCTAGTAAACGTTAATTTGTTAAAATCGTTAATCAAGAAATTAATTAATCAAGAAAAAAGAATCTATTTGATTTATAAATAAAATAATTATATTAATATTTAAGTGTTAATGATATATTTTCACTTAAGTAAGCAACAATTTTCTTTTAAAGTTTGATAAAATATCATTTATTGGTTAGTTATATTTCTTACAATAATAGGTGAGTATAAAACACAAGAAAAGTTATGTTGCTTGCATGTTTGGGTTAGAAATTATTAAAAAATGGTTAAGAACTATATGAAATACAATAAAACCGGGTCAAATCGCACACCATATCATCCCGCACACTGATCGAAATTATTAAATAAAAACTGAAAGGAAATGGATATGAAAAAAAATAAAAATAGATTCAAATACATAGTTATCTCCTCTATTCGAATTGATAAAACTTCATGCCGATGCAACTTCATGTTTTTCTTCTTTTACACAACTTTAACGACGGAGTCAAAAGTTTTTACATATTTCTTATCGTTACGAACAAAATACCGTTTGAACCGAAACTGATATAAAAATACTTTTAGCACTACCTTGTTTTCTAAATCTAATAAACTTAGGGTTAACTCCGATTTTATTAAAAATGAATTATTAAGTTATTTGTCAATGCAAATCATTACTCATTCATTATCATCACTCATTCAATCATCACTCATTCATTATCATCACTTATTCAATCACCACTCATTAAAAATCATTTAACAAGTTATTTCTCATGTTAATTTTAATTTCTAAACTTTTCGGACGTTTCGGAATCCGATAAGTTGCTTGTAATTGATTTCAATCTTATCTTTCAAATCAGAAGCAGTTTGTTAGCAATAATGGTTACAAATCAAATAAAAAACACATAGTTTGTGGTGTTCCTCAGGGTTCTGTTCTTGGCCCTTTATTGTTTTTGATTTAAATTGATGGTCTAAATAATTCTGTCGACTTCTCATCAGTCAATCTGTTTGCTGATGATACTAATATCTTAAATATTAACAAGTCTCATCATTCCTTGTGTAAAAATATAAATTTAGATCTAAAAGATTTAATTTAATGGCTAAATGCAAAACTAATTTCTCTAAACTTGGGAAAAACTAAACTAATATTTTACAACAATCATATAACTAAAAAAAATAGACATTTATATTCAACACATGTTGTTAAATATCTTGGTATTTTTATAGATTCAAACCTCTCATGGAATTTTCATATGGATGCCCTCCTTAAAAAACTTAATCAAACTAATGGCATGCTATCAATAATTCGCCATTATATTGATAAAACTACCCTTAAGAACCTGTACTTTGCAATTTTTCAGTCTCATCACAACTATTGTTGTCAGGTTTGGGGACAAAATGGCAACTGTAATATTAATAAATTGTTATCAGCTCAGCGTCAATGCACTTCCTTATAAAACTTTGAGGTAAGGTAAGTATTCAATTACCCATCAGTGCGTGAGTAAATGGAATCGAAGTCTTGTGTGCATTGTGAATGAGTTTGAAAAATTAAAATTTCAAAATAATTTATCTTTATTTCTTTATTTAAAACAAAATAAATTTAAACAAATTCTAATAAAAAATTTATTTTAACTCTTTATTATTATTAATTATCTTTTAGCTTTCTTATTTTACTTTTTCTTCTTACTATTTTTATAGAAACTTTATTGTTGTCATTATTATTATTTTTTTTTAATTACTGCTATTTTTATTATTTACTATTATTATTATAACTATCATAAATACTACTATTTAGTGCTGTTACTTTTGCACTTTTAATGTATAAAGTTATTAATAGGGCTGGGCAAGTTAACGCGTTATTATCGCGTTAACGCATTAATTAATTAACGCCGACAATAATTTTATCGCGCGTTAACGTACTTTTTATTTTGAAAGTCTAAAAAGTGAAAAGTAAACTTTTTAATTTAAATTTAATAGTTCATTAAACTAAAAAGTGACAGGGCTACACAAAATTCATCAAAACAGACCTGTCAATCTTTAGTTTACAGAACTATTAAATTTAAATTAAAAAATTAATCTCCAGATTTTATTATTGTAAAAAAATATATTTTTTTGCTAAGTTTTTATGAAATTTTTTTTTCCACCTATTAGTCTTTACAATGAGTTCATTATGAGTTTCTGCCGCTCGTTTTTTTAAGATTCACAAGCTTAACTTTATTTTTCTTTTGTGAAACTGTCTGTCAAAGTTTTCGTTTCTCATTTTATATTTTTTGCTTATTATTGCTTATAATTATTATTATATTAATTTATATTAGTATTAATATATTAAAAAAGTTATTTTGCATTTTGTATTTTTATGTTTATTTATAGTTTTGTTTATTTATTTTGTATTGTTTCAAAATTAAGTAATAATCGAATTATTATTTAATTATTTTTAATTCGATAATAATCGAATCATAAAAGAATTGAAACTTTCGTGCGTATTTATGTTATTGCTTATGCTCAAACAACAAGCAGTAAGTAAATTGAGAAATATTTAAAAATGGAAAAAGGTACCGAAATTTTAAACGGACACTTTTATTTTGAACCTCTTCAACAAGGAGTAGATAGAACTAAAGCTATTTGTAAACACTGCAAAGCGGAATTTTCTTATCATCGGAGTACTTCAAGTTTGAAGTATCACTTAAATGCAATGCACACCGTTGATGCTAACAAATCATCCACCCAAACAAACAGTGGAGGAAACCTTCGGCAGACTACGTTAGATGCAGCACGAGGGAGAACTACAGAGAAACAAAAGAAAGACAAGATAACAAATGCCATTGCAAAGTGGGTAGCAACAAATTGCAGGCCAACTAGTATTGTGGAAGATGTCGGTTTGAAGAATGTTATTCGGGTCGCAACGAATGACTGCACGTATGAGCCTCCGCCAAGACGCACCATTGTAAGAAAAATACATGAGCTGTATGAAAACGAGAGGACTATAAAGGCAACGGCATTACAACGTGCACAAACTGTTGCCCTCACCGGAGACTACTGGACATCGCTGGGTAACCATAATTATCTCGGAGTAACTGTGCATTACATTGATGAACAATGGAAACTGCATTCACATGCTTTGACAGTAATGAAGACACAAGAAAGACATTTTGCTGAAACGTGCGCAGAACATTTCATTCATGTTGCACAGCAGTGGGACATTTTAAATAAAGTCAGCACACTTAGTACAGATTGTGCTAGAAATATTGTCGCTGCTGCAAGACATCTGCCTTTTGAACGCGTCCCTTGTGTCGCTCACAGTCTTCAGCGTTCTGTCACAGTATCTTTGCACAACAGCGCGTTTGACAATGCCCTGGCTAAATGCAGAAAGGTGGTGGGCCATTTTAAACACAGTCCAGTTAGTGCTGCAGAATTAGAAAAAAAACAAATTGAGCTTGGACAAAAGAAGGAGTCGCTTATACAAGACATTCCAACCAGATGGAACTCGACTCTGGACATGATAAAAAGTGTTCGCAGAAACGAACAGCCACTGAGCGATGTCCTCACCACACACAACACAAAAGTTGCTATGCCAACTCCAGCTGAAATGGACAAATTGCAGAGGTTGGAAAAGCTCCTAGAACCCTGCAGGTATATTTTACATCATATATTTCTTACTGACTAGTTTGATTGCATGTGAGAGAATTGATGTGTCTGTATTTGTGCGTAAGCATGAACATGAGAACACTTTTTGTGTGTATAAGTGAATGCAAAACATTTGAGTGAAATGGGTTTTATTTTTTGCAGGTATGTGACTGAACTTCTGGGTGGAGAAAAGTACGTTTCATGCTCTGTGGTTCTGCCTGCTTTATGCCATCTCTCTCGGGTGATGGAGAGCTCAGATGATGACTCGGCCTATGTAGTCAAATTCAAATCTATGTTCAGAATAGATCTGGAAACACGCAAGGAAAATGCCAACATTGCATATCTAAAGATTGCAACCGCATTGGACCCGAGATTCAAAGACCTCAAGTGTATACCCAGAGTTGAGAGAGGTGAGGTTTGGGTCTCAATCACTAACTTACTCAAGGAACAGAGGGTTATTGCAGATGAACCTGTGGAAGCAGCAACATCAAAGCCATCAAAAAGAAAATTTGCTCTATTGGTTGCTTCATCAGAGTCTGATTCTGAACAAGAGGAAGACTCAATTGAAAACGGTGTGCGTCGGTACAAAGCAGAGCCCACCATCAGTACAGAGGTCTGTCCATTACAGTGGTGGTCCAAACATGCAGGCTCACACAACAGGCTGGCCTCAATTGCACAGAAGTACTTGGCAACACCTGCAATATCTGTTCCTTGTGAAAGATTGTTTTCTCTTGCTGGTCATATTGTACAAAAGAAGAGAGTTTCTTTATCATCTGAAAATGTAAATTACCTTGTTTGTCTTAGTAACTGGCTTGGTGCAGATGAGTAAGTAAAGTTGGAAGAATGGATAAAATTGTTTAAAATTTTGACAAACCAAAAGTTATGTTAGTTTAACTATGAAAAAATAAATTTACGCTATATATATACTACTTGTGGTTTTATTATTGAATTTTTCGTATTTCTGCGATTAATCCCGATTAATCACAAAAAATCATGCGATTAATCGCGATTAAAATATTTAATCGTTGCCCAGCACTAGTTATTATTGTTATTACTATTATTTTTCAGATTTATAATATAATTATTTTGTGTCACTCCTTTGATTAGGTTTTTGTATGAGTGACTTCTTTGCCAATTATTTATTTTTATTTATTCTTAATAATGATATTTTCGTTTTATTATTTATGTTATCATAGATATTCTTCTTCTCCTTTTTCTTCTTTTTCTTCTTCTTCTTCTTCTTCTTCTTTTTATTATTATTATTATTATTATTATTATTATTACTATTATTATTATTATTATTAT